GGAGCTTCGTTAGCTTTTTGCATTAAAGAGCTCAATAGCTTTGAGAAAATACAGTCAAATTTTTGTATCTGAGATTCGAATTACAGCAGTATACTTTTAATGTAAGCTGGATATTTGCAATTTATGCTTTAAACACATATTCCCAAGAGCTGACAATTCAGTTTGACGTATCCCGTAAGATGAGGAGCAAAGTGGAGTTATCCATAGATGTCAATCAGGAGTCCTCTTTCATATTCTGACCCTCCTGGCTGGCTTAAAGGTGAGATCTACCGTAGTTGCTATGAGATACTTATGATCCTAATGTTTGACCAGCACTGCTGAATATGACCCTTAGATGTATATTAGATCCCTTACCCACTCTCGCCAAACACAAAGTCATTCACCAGCTGCTGCTCCCCCTTAGTGGAAGCGGAGGAGGTGACTTCTCTGGAATGTGTTGATCACAGCATTGGACTCCCACTTATTGAACAGTTTTACAGTCTAGCTATGTTGTAAGTTATTTTGGCTTCCATGATGTTTTAAAGAGCTATACAGGGCTTTGTCCTTTGATAGCGTTATAGTAGGGGATTGTCAGCATTTATATTTAGCCCAAGTCAAACTCCTGACATTAGCTTATATTTGGCAATTTAGTTTAACACAAGAATGCTTGGTGAAAGCAAGACAGAGAAGGATCAGCTTTATTTTTACTAAACAGAAATTAATAAACCAGCAACAAAAAATGTATCAAAGCTGAACAACAGGCAAACAGCTAATTAATAAATACATATACATTATATAGGGGTTGTTTTGCATCAGCACCTTTTCTTCATATCTCCTAGAAACTCTGACGGAGATCTCTGACGTCTCCCATTGTTTCACATGTCTGGCTGTGAAGGTGTGGTGTTAATCCTGTATGGAGATATCTCTGTGCTGGAGTTCCCAGCTCCACCTGTCCACTAATATAAAATGTTATTGTGTTTGCTGCTGGTTTCTTTAGAGAATGCAGTGCAGGGAGTGAGCTTTGGAAGTTCTTTCAGTTGAGCAATGTCTCTCCACCTTTTTACCCCCCAAAAAACCCTTGAAGTACTGATCAGTAAGTTGTAGAAAGTTTTAAACAAAATTTTAAAAAATGTGGTGTACCTACAGTGCTTGACACCCTGGGCAATATTTAACATTCATCTGCTGTATATGACAAAAACGCCTTGAAACGTCTTGAAACGCCATGAATGATATTAACAGAAAAAGAAATGCAGACATGAAAAATTTTAGTGTCCCTTAACATTAGTGGTCAGTGTAGAAGTAACCCCTTATGTTGGTGGTCAAATTGCCATCATGTATTGGTGGTCAATGCAAAATTGTCCCCTTGGATTGATGGTCATTGAAAAGTTGTCCCCATTGCATTGGTGGTCAATGTAGGTGGGACATTGGTGGTTCTTCAAAATGCACCATGTATTGGTGGCCTTTGGCAAATTGCCCCATGTATTGGTGGTCTTTGGCAAATTGCCCCATGTATTGGTGGTCTTTGGCAAATTGCCCCATGCATTGGTGGTCTTTGGCAAATCGCCCCATGTATTGGTGGTCATTAGGGAAAATGTCATGCCATATATTGGTGGTCATTGTAAGTAGAAAATTAGTTCACCACTGTAGACTGCTCATGGAACTCATGACAACCTCAGGAGGACCCTAGGATTCCATGGAACACTGGATGAGAGGGCTGCAGTAGAGGAAGAGTCTGGATTTCCAGAATTCTACCCTCTACGCTGGCTTTCAGTCTTAACCAAAGTGTCAGTTTCGGGTGAATGCAACCTTTAATAGTGCAGCAACAGCATTTTCCGGATAATTAGGGTTCTTTCTGCCTAGTGAAGAGAGATCTTGAAAAAATACACAGTTTTTAAAATGAGTAACATTTTGAATAAAGCAGAAATAAGAGATGCATTTGATAGCATCATTAGTACTACCTTAGTACGCCTAAAATATGTAATTTTAGGGTAAATACAAGCTTGATGTACAGTTATGTAAGCACATATAAATGTGGGTAATTCAGATTGCGCAATTATTCTGCAATTCTTTCCATTCTGAGCTGTGACTTATAACTCTTCTTCAGTACATAATGCATCATGTCAAAGTCGGTTTGTTAGGCTCCTATTATTTTCAGAACAAGGAGGCAGATTGATGCTTTTTAATAAATAGTTTTTCTCTTGGTGTTTTGATGTCCCATATTTACAGAAACATTTGATTTCTCAGCTAAACTTTCAGCATATTTACAGTGTACTTTTCTGTCTCTCTATGTCTATTCATCAGTTTCAGCTGAAAACACTTAGATAAGCTCTGTGAGTCATAGGGGCATGTTCGCTGAAGTTTGTTTGCCAGGTTTGCCCACTGGCTTGCTGGTGGCATGGGACCATAGTTATATTCCCAATGGCTCAGGAGATAAAGCCAGCAAATGGAAACAGAGAATGAGGCTAGGATCCACATTTGGATTGTGTGTATGTATTTAAGTGAAAGCGCTAGAGTCCAGATACTATCCATAGTCCCTCTTTATTGATTAAAAACAAAATTACAAGGCACTAATGCGTTTCAGCTATACAAGCCTATGACTTTGCTATGAGTAAGGCTTGTATAGCTGAAACGCATTAGTGTCTTGTTGCTGTGATATACTGGATTTGGACTTTTAATCAATGAAGAGGGATTATGGATCGTATTTGGACTCCAGTGTATACACTTACTTGCACAGTCTGTGGAGGGTACCAGGAGGTTGAAACCAACACCCCATGCTGCAGTGGCGAAGTAGTTAGAACCAAAACTTTTTGTATACATGTGTGTATGTACAGCCACAACCTTTTTTCAGTGTTGGATGCAGTAGTGAAGAGTTAGAATTGGAAAAATGAAGGGTAAAGTCAGAAAATGGGACAATTCCAATACGTTAGGGGTGTCACTAGAACAAGAGGTGTGGCGGAATATTCCTATGACACTTGTTCCCATGACAGCTGTGTAAGAGGGCAATTCTCCTCACTTTGTAGCTAACATTTTTGTTATTTCCTCTCACTCCCTGTTGTGTCTACAGGACGGGAAGTGAAGGAAAATCTCCCCAATGGGATCTAGACTGCAAAAAAAAAAAAATTAACAGCAGATTTTATTCTCTATCCAAAAGTAAAAGACAAAGTTTTGGCCATGCATATATGTTAAATGTTCTACAAATGTGGATTTAGAAAATGAAGCAACATAGAACCTGGTGGGTCATAGGAGTTAATGGCAAATCGTTACTGAAATCACCATTTGAAAACCATGCATTTTTCAAATCGATCAGCAGTGGGAAATGTAACACGGGCCATATTATAAATATAAAGAACAGGTGGTACTTAGACCTAGATGTGACGTTGTGAAATGGCAAACCGGCCCAGATGTTGGGGATTGGTACCCTATACCGTAAAATCAGGGAAATGTGCAGTAAATCTATCTGAAGGAAACTATTTTATGAATGTGGCAAATGTATTTGGGAATAGAAAATGAGTATGATAAAAGTGGGGATAGAAATGTTGAGTTGCCATTGTTCTCAGAGGTGCAGGTTCAAAGACTGGCATACTTGTCCTGGCCTCAATACTAGTGGGTTACTGACCTAAAACAAGTATGCAGAACTGGAATCTAGACTCCTCTACTGGCTACGTACTTGTTCACTGTGCTAACTGAAACATTATATATAGTGTCATACAGTGCTATCCCATTGAGGTTAACTACTTGCCTGGTCCCCTGCCGGATCAATGGCAGCGTGAGCCAAATGGGGTACAGCATTATGGTTGCTGGATGGACTCCTGCATCTACCACCCATGTAAATATCACCTTTAGGGGAAATGGATGAAGGAATGAAGGGACATGACTCTAAAGCTTGGTCACATGCTTGACAGTATGACTGTATAATCTCCCTCAGATTTACTAACAAATGTCGTAAATGTGAACACTAACAATTAACGTCTCCTAAAGTGCATGTAAAGCCAACAGTTGTTCCACTAGGGAGAGTATCCATCACTTCTTGTCTTGGTGATACACCAGGAAATGAAAGTATATTTCTCTTCCATGAGAACTCCCCATATTGGAGGGTTCTCATGGAAACCAGTGTCCCAGTTGGGTTTACCCTCACTTCTTGCTCTGGTGGCAACTGTATCATTTTGTACTTCCCTTCACTTACTGTGCCAATGACAATGGTCACCACAACATATTGAGGGGTAAATCTCCCCAGCGGGGACTCCAATAGCAATAATAACTTGGCAGGGGGTCTAATCCTTTCCCACTCTCTCCAAAAAAACATTTACATACACTTTAATTGCTCCCTTTTTGGTCTGCTAATTATACTGTACCATTGACAGTGTTATGTTGTATCTGTTCAATATGTTTAAAAGTATCTGATCCTGCTAGAAATGCAGTGCTGCTCTGCAATGTAATCAGGGAGAGTGTTAGGACTACAGAACATGGAGGAATGGAGAGGGAGAGGTGTTATGTAGTTCTAACACACGTACTGTCCTAGGGTGATAACTCTGCTCCTGCAGTACAATGCAGGGAGTGTTGTCACCCTAGGCCAGGATATGGGTTACAGACAGAATCACCAGGTAAAAATAAAGGTTAAAGCCTGAAGGAAGTAAACAAATGCAGCCACCACATCTAAGGACTGCTAAGCTGCAATATATCACATTTTTGTTCTTGGATTTAGATACACATTAAACAATCCATTGAATTTATATCCAGTCAGGCAGACCCTTATGCTGTATAGTTGTTGAAGAATCCAAAGGAGATTGAAAAAATTGATTTGAACATTTGTGCCAGCCTATGACTTGTCACTGTGGAATTCCTTAATAATCTTTTGAACAGATCAAGCTGTTCCGCAGCAAAGACAAGTCAGTCCAGATCATCTTTCTGTCCAGCAGATGAAATGTACAGTTTTTGTTCCACTTTAACGCATGAAAAGCCAGAAACATCCCATCGTGCAGCTGCACTATATCCTTACAGAGTTGTGTTCTGTTTTCTTGCAGCCAGCCAACCGGTCACATCAGATGTATTGGTTGCCACAGGAGGCAAAATGATCCTGAACTGCTCAGTGAAAGAGCATGAAAACTCATCTCTCCAGTGGTCCAACCCCGCTCAGCAGACCTTGTATTTTGGAGAAAAGAGAGGTAAGCCAGATAAGTGTGTGAGATAAAGCCGGATTCTGCAGCGTTCTCCATAATGCATGAGTGGTGGGATACTTAAATGAAGGACTTTAGAGGATTTACCTTGAATCCTTTGAATATGGATTAATGATGCTTTATCCATGCTGATAGAAAGAGGACAAAATCTTTGTACACATTTAGAAAGTTCTGTACTGCAATCGTAAAGAAGGCCCCAATGCCACTGTATATGCTGCACACTTCAAACCAAGTGTTTCCTTTCTGAGTGCTAGGACTTCTATTCCTTCAGTGATACTGCAGTGGAAGGAAGGGGGTGAGCCTTTAGAGAGGCAGAGCCAGCTGTCAATCAGCCAGCGGGGTGGATCTCAACAGTATTGTGGGATCCATCCCGGCTGCGCTGCGGCTGTGCGCTCTCAGCAGAGCTGAGACAATAGCTTTGAGATCTTGAGAATTTAGAGGCCAAGTCAAGGCCTCGAACTTGTTGTGTCTCTCAAGCCATTCTTGAACCATTTTTGCAGTCTGACAGGGAGTATTATCCTACTGAAAAAGGCCACTGCCATCAGTGAATACGGTTTCTATGATAAATGGTAAGCAATAATGGTTTGATAGGTGGTACGTGTCAAAGTAACATCCACATGAATGACAGGACCCAAGGTGTCCCAGCAGAACATTGCCCAAAGCATCACACTGCCTCCACTGGCTTGCCTTCTTCCCATAGTGCATCCTGGGGTCATCTCTTCTCCAGGTATATAACACACAACACCTGGCCATCCACATGATGTAAAATAAAATATGATTCATCAGAGCAGGCCACATTTTTCTATTGTTCTCTGATCCAGTGTTGATGATGAAATGCCCATTGTAGGGTCAGCATGAGCACCCTGACCAGTCTGCGGCCACGTAGTCTTATACACAACAAACTGCAATGCACTGTGTGTTCCGACACCTTTCTATCGGAACCAGCATTAACTTTTTCAGCAATTTGAGCTACATTACCTCTTCTATTGGATATGACTACACAGGCCAGCCTTCTTGCCCAATGTGCATCAGTGAGCCTTGGACACCCATGACCTTGCCACTTTTGGTAGGTCCTGACAACTGCAGACTGGGAACATCCCTCGAGCTGCAGTTTTGGAGTTGCTCAGAACCAGTCATCTAGCCATCACAATTTGGCCCTTGTCTAAGGCGCTCAAATCTTTGACCATTTTTTCTGCTTCCAACACATCAACTACAGCAACAAAATGTTCACTTGCTGCCTAATATTTCCCACCCACATCCAGGTGCCATTGTAACAACGGATGCACCGATACAGTTTTTTCGGTATCGAGTACGAGTACCAATACTTATATTTTGTTACTTGTTGATACCTAGCACCGGTACCGGTACTTCCAGTAGCATAGAGCCGTCTTCCAGGGCAATCAGGAAGGCTTCTTGATTGCCCGGGAAGCGGACTTCATTCTGTTTGGTCGGCTGGATGCTTATTGGCCGGGAAGCCGGCCTCCCAGCCAATCGGCATAGAGGCCGACCAAACAGATCTGACAATATGGTGACACGACCTGGCTCCCGGCACCTAATTCCCCTCACATAGATCCTTAGCCACATTCATTAACGTTCCAGTCCCTCTGCCAGCGCTCTCCATGTGGGCAGACACCGCTCTCCAAGATCTCCCCACATCTCCTGTGTACAGCGGCCACGTGATCGGAGCTCAGCCTGCTACTGCACATGCGTAGACTGCCCAGTGCTCTCATTCAAAAATCCTGTGCATGCGCAGTAGCAGGCTGAGTGACGATTACGTGAGCGCTTTGCAGTGTGCACAAAGGAGACGGCAGAACTAACCGGGGGATTGGTACGTTAAAGAATGCTTAGGATCTGTGTGAGGGGAATTAGGTGCCTGCAGGGTGGGGGTCGAGTCACTATATTATCAGATTTGTTTGCCCGGCTCGACACTGAATCGGCCAATCAGCATGGAGCCGGCCAAACAGCATGGAGCCAGCTTCCCGACTCCATCTTTCCTCGCGGCACTGCTGGTCAGAGGAAATCTCCCTCTGACCGGAATTTCTAGTATCGGGAAAGGTATCAGAGCATTTGGCTGAGTACGAGTACTTGCCCAAATACTCAGTAAAGCCACTGATACTAGTATCGGTGCATCTCTAAATGTAACTTAACTTTACCTCTCAGTGGTCGTAATTTTATTGATGATTTTAT